ACGACCAAACTCATTCGATAGTCGCTGTGAAAAGACGTACGAGGTCTAACGATGAGCACGATTGCTCGACTTCTCTGCTCACTGGAAGCTTCTTCCGAGCTTCTTTCCATAGTTGGAGGGGGCTCTTTTCTGTCGAATTGTTTGGCTGACTTTGTACGTATCTAAACTAAGCCTTCAATTGTATTAGTTTAGGCAGAACATCTTCTCCTAGATGTGGACAACTCTGGTCATCTTTTGGACAATTTTCTTGATGAAATGCTTGAATTTGCGTCATCTGACGACTTCCATATGCGCTGTTTTTCTGCTAACTTCATTGAGAAAGCATGGTATGTGTTGCAGATGACAAATTTTTTTATGGTGCAGCCTGACAGTTTTATTCATTACCTTTCATTTTTATTACTCTCTTGGCAGTTTATCACTTTCTGTGACCATGATTTTAAATTTTCAGTAAAAAGGATGCAGAAGTCTTGAAAAAAGCCATAACGCATCTCTCCTACCTGCTTATGTCAGGTAGTCAGTCTCGAGGCGGTGTGAAGGTTATGAAACGGGTACGTTATTATGACACAACATTTGTAGATTTCTTTTTTCTTTGGAATGGGGCCCATATGCAAGCCATAAGGGCGATTAAAGCTTGTGGTCCTTATGATCTGCCTGCTTGAACTCGGTGCTGCAGCCTTCCAGACACTTAAGTTGCTCAGCACCCTGTATTTCCTTACCTTTTAAAAGCCCACCGGAGGGTCCATCATCTGTCCTTCTACACTTTGCGCTGCAGTTTATATATTTCCTGCCTAGCTCTTAGCGACAGGACTAGAGCTCACACGAGCCTCTGAATTAGAATTGCCAAATGCAAGTCTTTAATTACATGAAAGCGTGCTCGAAAATGCGTTGTAAGGACGCCAAACAATCATGATTATGGCAACCTTCGACCCCGCCCCTTGCTCCATATACGCCCAATTGACGTTTAACGTCATTTTTGTCGACGCCGTGATGGTGGAGATATTTTGCTTATAGCTTTTCCCATT